ACAGAAGGTTGCGGCGGTGGAAATAGGGTTTCGTGGTGCTCCTGGATGTTTTTAGGGTACGTAAATATATATAGGCGAATGAGGTTGGTCAGGGGAGCCACGAGGGGCCCACGAGGGTGGGGGGCGCGCCCACCCCCCTAGGGCGCGCCCTCCTACCTTGTGGCCGCCTCGACTGCTTCTTGACGTCCACTCTAAGTCTCCTGGATTGCGTTTGTTACAAAAAGATCTCTCACGAAGGTTTCATTCCGTTTGGACTCCATTTGATATTCCTTTTCTTCAAAACACTGAAATAGGCAAAAAAACATCAATTTGGACTGGGCCTCCGGTTAATAGGTTAGTCCCAAAAATGATATAAAAGTGTATAGTAAAGCCCATAAACATCCAAAACGGGTAATATAATAGCATGGACAATCAAAAATTATAGATACGTTGGAGACGTATTAGGAACATGGGTGGCTAAAATCTGCGATCAATACACCCACCAAAGATTTTAACGGGGTCATTTCATTCCATCGAGTAGGCGGCCAAGAAGTACAATATTATGTTCGTCCGGCTTCACGACGTAGATGTCCACCAAATTTCGCCTACGGTGAGCTGCCATGGCAGGAGCCCGTCGAACAGCGGCTAGTCTCCGCGTGGGAGAGGACGGAAGACCACTAGGCTCAGGAGTGCCATCGCAGTAGAGGCCGCTTGGAGGATTACATGGCGGAGCTCCGCTGGCTCTACCCGCAGCTAGTCGAAGTGAAGCGCCAGCTGTTCGATTAGTTAGTGGCCAGGGGGTGGACGTCATCGTGTTGTCCAATGACGATGACTCCGACGGCGGCAGCAACACCAAGGTTAAAATTGTTGGGTAACATAGTAGAAAACAAAAAATTCCATCCTACACACCAGCACATCGTCATAGTGGCCCTAAGATTGGTGCATAAAGCCCCCCCCCCCCAAAAAAAATGGCCCACCAAAAGGAGGATCTTGCCCCCCATGTTTGAACATTGTGTGTTTGTGCGAGCGTACCCTCTAGAAAAATCTAGGAGGTCCCGAAACTTTTCCAGCACCCTCCAAAAAAATTCCGGACGCATTCTAAAACTTTTTCAGCTTGGTGGTTTATTCCAAAAAATTGTTCGGTTTCTCCAAAACACTTTTGGTTTTCTGTCCGAAAAATTTCCAGTTTCTCCGAAAATTTTCCGGTGACTTTAATTCTCCCAGGCTCCTAACCTAGTACTCAGCAAATGGGTACCCTTACGTGTGACCTTGTATGTTCGATGGGGCATAGACATGACCGGAACATCTTTCAATCAAGGATCAATTGCAGAACTGTCGACACTGATACATCTCCAACATATCTATAATTTTTGATTGATGAATGCTACCTCGTCCATTCCACAATGTAGTGCATATAGATTTTTTTTAAAAGTCAAACTTCTCAAACTTTGACCAAGTTTGTATAGAAAAACATATACAACTGAAATACCAAATCCATATCATTAGATACATCACAAGACGTACCTTCATATTGTATATATTTGGTATTGTAGATATTAGTTTTCTTTATAAACTTGGTAAAATTTTATAAAATTTGAATTTTCAGAAAATCTATATGCACTATATTATGGTACACAGGGAGTATTATATTATCACTTTTGTACGTTTTATACCATTTTATATTAATTTTCTGGACTAACTTATCAATTTAGTGCCCACTATCAGTTCCTGTTTTTTTAGCTCGTTTTTGGTTTCGTGGAAAACCCATATTTAGGAAGGTCCAAATGTGATGCCAATTTTTGACGATTTTTTTGGAGTATGAAGGACCCTAAAACCTTCGGGAGACCACGTCAAGACCCACCAGTCAATCACAAGGGTAGGTGGCGCGGCCAGGGGGTGGCTACACCACCTAGGCTTGTGGGCTCCCTGCTACTCCGTTTGGCCTAATTCCTCCGCCTATAAATTCCGCAATTCCTGAAACCCTCAGAAGCGAACCCAAGAGAATTTTATCGCTGCCGCAAGCCTCTATTTGAAGCGATCACATCTGGACCCCTGTTCCGGTGCTCTGCCGGAGGGGGAAGCCACCATGGGAGGCCTCTTCATCAACCTTGCTGCCTCCGCATATTAAAAAAATCTTGCTGCCTCCGTGGTGATGTGTGAGTAATCCCTTTAGGACCTACAGGTCTATAGTAGTAGCTAGACGACTTCTCCTCCCTCTCCTTCGGATCTTCAATACAATAATCTCCTCTGAGATCAATCCGATGTAATTCTTGTGGTGTGTTTGTTGGGATCCGATGATTTGTAGATTTATGATCAAATTGTTCATTGAATATAATTTTTTTTTGAAGTCTCTTTGCTGTATGATTGAGTAACTATGTATGCTTTCTAGGTTATTTGTCTTCTCTGGCTAAGATATATGGGTAATTCTTCGGAGGGAGTGGTGCATAACAGTAGCTTCAATGTTATGGTGATCTGCTTCCCAGTGATAGGAGAAGCCACGTGATGTGTTGTTGCTACTCAGGATTAAACGACAAAGATTGATCTTATTGCTAGGTTTTTTTCCGTGAATATGCAAAGCATGCGTATCATTCCTTGATAGAAGAAGAAGAGTGAATACAGGGTATGAACAACACATGCACATACGACATGGTGTTCGGAGGAGAGGGACATGGGGTGTTCAGCCCAAAGAAAGGAAAAGAACAACACAACAAAACTCTCCTAGCCCTGAGAAGCAACTCGAACACAGTGAAGACAACCAGCATCCAACTCCACCGCCGGGGATGTCGTGAGTGAGCAAGACGACGCCATCAAGAAGGGGAACAACGTCAAGTCGTCATCCGGTCCAGGAGCCTAGACCTAGGGTTTCCCCTGATGCTCGAAGAGGGGCTAAGACGGAGACCATAGCGGCGCCTCCAAGAAGGGGACGACACCCGCGGGTGCCGCCGATACCAGCACCAGCAAGACGAGCAGGGATTTCACCGTGGTCTTTGTCTGAGCAATCCCAAGCCACCGGGGCGGAGAGAGGGAAGTCGAAACACATGCCGAAGTCGCCAATCAAAGGGAGGGCGCAACGCCCATCGGCAAAGCCGGTATCGGACGTCACCGGGAGAGCGATCTACAAATTCGGCAGGAGCAAGAGCGACACGAAGAGTTGACCTGGGTTGGGCGACCAGACGGAGGGGAATTCGGCGGCGAAGGCAAAGGGGATGCGACAGTGGCCGGCAACGCAGATCCGGTCCACCGGGACCCCGGCAAGCCCAAGAAGCTGGAAGAGGAACGCAGCTCCCGGAGCATGTCGGGTCCAAAGCCGTGCCAGCGTGGACCCCGGCGAGCCAGGAACTCAGGAAGGGGACGCAGGTTCATGGCTTCCAAGGAAGCGAGGACACACTCGCGAGGGGGGAGAGGGCCGCCATGGAGAACAACACACCCACCGCGCAATCCGGCTGGCACACTTCGACGGACGCGACACCGCTGCCATCAAAGGAGCTCAGGGGGTGGATGCTGCGGGTAGGGGTGGGGCACCGCGGCCAGAGGGTGGCCCAGACTAGCCAGTGAGGAGCAGCCCACGGGGGTAGCCACAGCCACGCGCGTCCAGAAGAGGGTCGTGCCAGGAGCGAGCTCCAAGCCGCGCGCGGGGCCCAGAGTCACGCCGAGGGGCGGCCGGCGAGGAGAGGCCGGATTCAGCCTTGCAGCAAGGCCAGGGCACGACACAACCCACGCCGAAACGACCGGAGGTAGCGAACGGGGAGCCGCGGGGCGGGGCGAGGTGGCACGGGGCGGGGCGGATTGGAGCGGGATGGTGGCGAGGGAGCGCGCGAGGGGCCAGATCCGCCCTGCCGCCGCCGTCCTAGGGGCCGGTGCGGCTTCGCCGGCCGTCTCTCCGGCGGCGGCGATGCAAGGGACGGCGACGAGGGTGGCTTGTAGTGGCGGCGGCTAGGGTTTCCCCGTGTCGCCAGAGGCTGGCGGCCATTGCTAGGTTATAAACAACCAATTTTTAGTTTGTGCTTGTGTCGTTTAAGTTTGTTTTACTCCTCTAAATCCCGAGGATAGGTTATAAACAACCATTTTTTAGAGAGCAAAAATGGTTATATAAAGAATACTCGGCCATTTACTCCTCTAAAGTTTAAGGGATCCGGTAGAGGTGCCCTTGGCCCCACTCTGCTGTAGTGTTCTGCGATCATAAAAATGGTACAAATGGGCGTACACACCATCACACCACACGTCAAGGAAAGATATTGACTGGTTGGGTTGTAATGGCAAAGGTGTACACATCAACTTTCCTGCCTCCCCCTCCATTATATTCTTCTGTAGTCTAATCGCACGGCCCAGCCGTCCAATTAACGGCCTCTAATCGCAACCTACCTACACATTTGACCAGTGACAGTGACTGTTCCTCCTACTCCATGCATGCACATGATAGGCATGATCCCCCTCACTCGCTCACTCACTCAGCTGGCACCTTTTAGAGACCCCTCAAAGTTTATCTATATTCATAAGCACATCAATGTGACTTCATGTGCAAGGGAAGCAGTTGGTGCATGAATGGAAAGATGAAGCAAAGGAACAAAACAAAAGGGATGTCACTTTGCCATGAAGGGAATTCCTTTTCTTTTATAAAGCTGAAGCGTGCATGCATTATCTGCAAACATATTGATTAATTAGGCTCTAGCTATCTTCTTCTACAATGTACTCTATACATGCATGGCTTTGTGATGACCGTCGAACACCATATAACTCAAGTAACTTTGCTTGAATTATTTGCATAGGCATGAATATCTGTATACACCCCCGCAAAAAAAATGAATATCTGTATACAAGAATGAATTCATCAAGATATATGTAGTATCAAAAGTGAAGTAGTGGCTGTTGAAGAATTCTTGTGTACATCACGTAAATAATGTCAAGGGAAAAAATGCTACCTTTAACGTATGTATATGTATATATACTTAATTATATATGTATATTCGTATATGCATGTAGTTTAGGCACGGAGATAGGAGGTGGGCCCCAACAGCGTGTCATCACTCAACTTGGAAATCAAGGAAAGGCAAGCATGACACGTCTTTCATCAGCTCCTCCAAGTCCCACTCCCCCATGACTACGTTCCTGCTCATGTGCTGCTGGTGGCCATGCTGCTCCCAGTACGAGACCACACTGTTGATGTTGTTCTTGCTGTTGTTGTCGTCATTGATGTTGCAGCCATTTTTGCTGCTCAGTGTGGTGCCCTCAGCAGTACTGTTAATGTTTCTATGGTTGTCGTCGCTGTTACCAGTTGCTGCCATTAAGGTTTGGTCTTGCAATGTTACTGCCATGGGCTCTAGTAGAGGTGGCACGTTGAAGAGGACACTATGTTCGCCTCCTCCGCCTACAGCTTCTTCTCCCGTGAAGCAGGAACCGCCTCCTCTTTCCATTGCCATTCCGTGGGGGTAGTAGCCACCAGTCCGCAAGGGAGAAACCTGCTTAAACGATGAATGGTCGTGGAAGAACGGCGGCACCGACGTGTCGGTAGAAGGTGCGACGCCGCAGAATTGGTTCGGGAGGGGCAGGAGGAGGCCCCCATAGCCCCTGTTTGCCGCCGGAGCCATTGTTGACGGTCGGCTCTGCTGCTGTATGGACGATGACGAAGAGGGGGAGGAGGATGAGTCGATCCGCCACATGCTCTTCATTCCGTGGTGGCTCCCATCCTCTAGGCTGGTGAGGTCGAGGCAGCTGGCACTGCCGCCGTCGAGCTTGGGCTCGGGGGGTGACGCACATTCCGTGGTCGCCGGAGACGAAGCCGCCGAGTTCATCTTTAGCCGCTTCTTGATAGTGGAGTTCCAGAAGTTCTTGATCTCGTTGTCGGTGCGCCCCGGTAACCTGGCTGCGATCTGAGACCATCTGGAGTAGCAGGACATAGATTTTATCGTAAGCAAACATCAATCGAGAGGTTTCTGTCAAAAAGCTACATGCGCACGTGTCTTAGATTTTTTTTTATGCATGCATGGCCAAAAAGTATCTATGCTTGCGATTTTTGTTAAAAACAACTGACTGAAGACTAAATTTAGTGCATTGATGTCGTAATCATAATTTCTGGTAAGATGGATATTAATCACGCACGACTGATCGATCTGACAAATAAAATGCATCTTCAGTTTGAAAACATGAATCACTTTCACATCTTGATAAGGGGCCTTTTATTTGCTACTACTACCTCTGGTCCTAAATATAAGAATTTTTTGCAGTTTAAATATAAGACATTTTTGCATTCAATTTTAACTACAAAAACATCTTATATTTAGGAACAGAGGATATACCTTATATCAGTCTGTAATTTTGAGAATGTCCTCACTTTAGTCATCCGACTATGCTATTGTCTAGCCCAGTGACATTTATCCCCGAAAAATAAATATATGTTTCCTCATAAGAAAATATCATAAAGCAAAAAAGACAAATCAAAGAAAGGGAGTGATTATAGCTCAGTTGAGTTAGAAATAATTATTTCTTAGTGAACGGTGATAATCGTCTGATCAATATATTTTTCATCTTTTAGCACACCTGCAGAGAATCACAGTTTGTGGATCCGATGGTTCTTCAGCGACCTGAAAGAGTTATTAACCTTCCGGCACAAAATAGAAATAGTTATCTACTCTGAAGAACCCTTTGAAAATATAGTGTAACTAGATGGAAGGATAATTTATAAAACAACAATATGTGTTTCTAAAGCAATGTTGAAAAATAGAATAAAGAAGAAGGTAGCAATCCAGTTATATCCTCCTACAATAATGTTCACCAAGTTATTACTCGTAACTACCACGAACCTCAGTTAGTCAAGTATAGGACATTGCGCATCCCCGCAAAAAAACAAAGAACATGTGCATTCCCGTAACGAACAACACACAAACATATACAGTAATTCTCATGGCGTACGGCTGCATGAGACGGCTGGCACGGAGTATGGACGGTCGTACCTGTTGCCGAGGATGGCGTGGAGGTTGACGATGAGGTCCTCCTCCTGTGGCGAGAAGGCGCCGCGCTTGAGGTCCGGACGGAGGTAGTTGATCCACCGGAGGCGGCAGCTCTTGCCGCACCGCTGCAGGCCGGCGTTGCGTGCCACGTCGCTCCACGACCCCTGCCCGCTCCGCAGCATGTACGCCACCAGCCTCTCGTCCTCCTCCGGGGACCACAGCCCCTTCCGCAGCTTCGCCGCCGCTGCAGCCACATTGCTGTTTCCTGGCGCCGCCCCACCGCTGCACTTCGTCGCCGGGCACTCCACGGGCTTCCTCATTGCCCGGCCTGATGTCCTAGCAATTATCGATGTAGTTATGGACTGTACTAGCTATCCTAGCTAGAGACCAGGCCGATCTCCAAGGCTGCAAGTACACCAAGTGTATATATCTCTCTATATATAAGGGAGAAATGGACTCGGGCGTGTGTGGTATATATATGATGTGTATGTGTTTTGTGTGGAGTGAGGGGAGGAACGGAGGACGACGAGAGGAGGAAGGAGATGATGATATGATGGTGATGGGTGTGTGCTTTGCTTAGAAACTAGACAAGCAGATGGAGAGCAGGATCGGAGAGAGAGAAAGAGAGAGCCTTCAAAAAAAAAGAGAAACAGGGAATTGCTAGGTCCACACACAATCTACCACTCTACCCTACTAGTTGACTTGCAGTCATGACACATGCTTTTTTTTTGCCGAAAATGACTCAAATCTATTTTGAAGATTCACCTAAAAATACTTCAAACATAATATAAGTTACATTGATGTCTCTAAACCATTAATGACCACTCTCCACCGTTGAATCTTTGAATCGATCTAAGGAACTGCATACCTAATATCCCCCTTGCGTACTCAAGGCGAGAAACCCTAACCTCACCGCCCCGATAAACCGATAGGAATCTACACCGGAGCTTTGTCTAATCCGTCCCGACTGACGAACTCTAGGAGTATCAGAGCCCAAACAACTGTCTCGAAGAAAGCATCTCCATCCGCCCAAGTGCCGCCCCCTGTGAGGATTTAAGCCGTAAGCTATCTATTAGCCGGAGTAAAGGCACTAAGATTCCCCTTCCCGCCACCGTCTGCTAGAGTGGCAGGCAAAGGGGAGGGGGAGAATTGACGGGCTCGCCGGCAAAGATTGAGGGGGGGAGGGGGGGGGACTTTACCGTAGTCGCCTTGCGAGAGAGGAAATGGAGACTTTTATGTTTTATATTGATCTTAGAGCTATGGCCCTTCCCCGGAAATTTTAATCCCTAATTTTTTTGAGGATCTATCCTTCAAAACTTACCACTTGAGACTATATTCGCTATGGAAACATCAACTCTCATCTTTTTCTATCTCCTCCCGCGCCTCTCTCTGGCTCGACTAGGCATACCTCACACAAAGCACCTCACTGCACTGAGCCCACCCCACCACACGTGCCCCCTTATGGCCCCGCCCCCTACACCCACCTCTCCCTCAATATTGTTTCAATTTCTTGTCTTCCATGTCTCTTCGATCATAACAACGCTCTCCCCCCCATTACCGTCGGCCATGGGCAGAGCGACACCATAGACGGAGGAGCAGGTAAACCACCTATATCACCTACAAAGGAGAAACGTGTACATAGAAACATGGTCACCAGCCAACATCACCGATTCCAACGATTTGTTGCATACGGGACCACGCCATTGTACCACTAGGAAAAGGAAGAGAATAAGAACCACTTCAGATGAACAAGTGCCCAAACCGTGGCCCGTGAAGAACAAACTTCGCTGACTTTATTGTCTCCTTCCTCGCACATGTATATCACTTGAACCTATATCAAGTTAATTTGCAGATCATCTATCCTAGTTCCTAGCTAGCTCCTAGACATCATCTACTAGACAAAAGTTATTGTTGGCCATGTGGAAGGAAGAAGGAAGAAGAAAGTGGAGTGAGATTTTCAAGTGGGGTTAAGCTCGTTTGAGGATTTGAGTTTTGGGGGAAGTGCTAGGTGCAAAAAAGTTTAATCCCTCAACTCTTAGGTGGTTAAAGAATGGGGGGGGGTGTTAGGGCACTAAAAGAGAGGGGAAGGGCTAGAGATGCTTTTAGTGTGTAAAAATTGGCACATTGCTCATATCCTCGATGATCCACTCCCTCTTAGATTCCACCTTAAGATCTGAAACACCTTCTCCACATCCCGACCTGATAGGTGATTAAGATAACAATCGGAAAATAACCGCTATTCTATATGGGTGAAGTGTGATAGAATCTTGGCGAACCTATAGACAACGCTTGGGTTTGCTGGAGCCCAATTGCGCTCTAGCTAGTGATCGCAAACGGTGGAAGAACCTTATGTTGGGGCACATGTGAGAGCAACTCTAGAAGATTATCTGTTTTCACTTCTTTTTATAATAACATGTGCGATGGAGGCCATGGAGCCCCTACCCGGCGAGATTGATGACGTTCAGCTGGAAAGGCGGAGTCCGAGTTCGAGGACGCTATCGCCGCCTCCCTTGCAACTAGACGCAAGGAGGAGGAGTGGCGGATGGCCCCGGAGGAGTTGCAGTGGGTCATCGAGGAACCGGAGCAACAGTACCAAGACAAGATCTCGCGCGACCACTACCTCGAGCATTACCGACACCAAGGACAACGAAGACGACGCTCTGAATGGTGAGTTCGTCCACATCCCATCGTACGACAATGAGACATAGGGCGGCGCAGCAGTGGTGCATTGTGGTGCGGAAACAACTATGTTTAATTATGTGTAGTAGTCTTTGTGTAGAGGATCAATCTTTTAAGAGCTATGTTTAAGTCAAGTAGCTATGTTTAATTAATAAGTGTGTATTCAACTAGGTCGGGTTAGTAAGTGCGAGCTATGTTTAGTCTTTCGACTTGAGCTATATTTGCTCAAATAGGAATGCCACTGTGAAACTTAGTTGAAACTTATGTTAAATTATGGAGTTTACGCAATGACGTGAATGATCACCTTACGTAGGAAAAATAGCACCAAGAAATTGTATGTTCTCATTCATTGCATAGGGGTAAATTAAGAAGATTGTGTGCGATGGTCAGCTATAGCATACGATTGCTTTGAATGAATCATGTGCGATGAAAATTACCAGTTCCTCTCCATGTAGTGAATATTTTTGCTAGTTGTGCCAATATCTTCCTTCCATCATTCTCCTCCTACCAAACACCGCATTTCTCTCCTTTCAACACTCAAACCCTCCTTCTAGTGTGGCGTTCTCCCCGGCGACACTACGCTCCTCCTTGTGATCGCCTCCTCGATCTATTCAGGTAATCCACCCTCCTCGTCCATTTCCATCCTTAGTGGCCTGATGGCCAGCGTGACAGCAACCATCAGAACTCACATCTCCTGCTGTCGCTATGGTCCACGCCCCATGGCAGGGAGCTCAAAGAGCATTTTACCGTGGAGAGGCAAATCACGACTGCACACACGGATGAGGCCGCAATGGTTGCCATGCGAGGCGACCCTAGATCTTGGAGGAGCACTTGTCCGTCGAGGTCGTTGCCAAAACCTCACGCGCAGACAACATCGGGTGGTTGTCTGCTTTAAATGATAGGTGTTGGGGAAATTTTTAGGCCATAGTCGGTGCTTATGAGGACTACAAGGTGTCTCTCATTGTTACCCTGCAATAGCATAAAGTAGGTATTATTCTTCATCAACCTTTTATTGATAGTATTGCAAGGTAACAATGAGAGACACTGTGGTTTACCATCGAGGTTTGCACATGGTCCTTAGGCATATAGCACATTACCGTGCAATTGCAAAAATTCTGATGTTTAGTTCTTGCATGTGTCAGAGGTTTAGACCCACTATTCAACCCATTCTACAATTGGAAATGAGATATCCATGAGTCAAGAAACTCAAAAATATTGTTAGGATAAAGAAACTAAAAAAGAAAAAAAGAAAAACTCTTTGTTTGCGCAATGGAGAAGACATCAGTCAATTATATGATGGTACTAACTTCCTTACCTTGTTTTTTCCTACGCGCAACATTTCAATATTTCGATATGTATGCATATGTTTGTTTTCACTACTTTCCAAAGCAGTTCTCCTATGATTATCTCTCAAACCACATGTACGCTCAAGAGCCAAGGAAGGTATTCGTACAACACCCATTGTATAAGTTTGAGGTCCTCCTCAAGGGGGGAAAGGACTGGTGCACGATCATCCACGGGCGTTGGCCCGAAGTTGCCAGGACCTTCAGCATCGTGAGAGGCTCAATATTTTCCATCCGCTTCAGCAACTTTCGAGATGAGGTTGATCTTTTTATTTCCTATCTATGATTCTACATTCCAAAGGCTTTAGATGTTACATGTGAAGTGCTTCTATGGCACTTCTTTAATTTGGTGATTGTGCACTGTGGTGTACTAGCTATATGATGTGTTGTGATGTCAATTATAAAATCTAGATGGATATGAAATATGTTGCGTGTTCGATATGAAATCGTGGTGAACAATTATTGCATATGAAATGTGAATTTTCTTATTACGGGAACTAATTGATAATGGGCTGATAAACCTTCTTATTAGGTCATTGCATTGCACATGGTTCAATACAAAGGTGTGTGGAAAATGACCACTTACAACACACACGGCTGCTAAAAATTAAATGTGTGGGATGGGCGAATAGAAACACAAAATTCTGCCGTAGACAACGTGTGCGATGGGACATAGTATCCCACATGCTCCCAGCACCGTGCCTTGTGTGATGGAAGACCTCATCCCACCCGATTGTGCATCCCAAATCGTGTGTGATATGCGAAACGGCCGCAAGTGTCTCAACCCGACAAATCGTGTGCGATGGAGGACCCCATCCCACATGATTGCGTGCTTCCAATCAAGTGTGATATTCTGCCCGAGTGCAAACATTTCTGTCCGGAAAATTGTGCGGGGTGTATGACAGATCCCACATGTTTTGTTCTAGGTGATTGTTTGCGATAGCTCATCCCGTCGCACATGTTTACTTCCGGGTGTATCGTGTGCGATAGGTCGACCTATCGGACACGGTTATCATGTATCTTGTGTGATGCACCTCCCCTATCGCACACCCTCTCAAGGCGATGGTTCTTAACTGTGTGTGTGACAGGGGTTTTAAACCGTGAGCGATGACTCAATCTACACTAGTGTTTCCAATGTTGTTCGCGTGTGTGAAGTTAATATTTATGCCAAACAGATGTTGAATGACTACATGCGGCGTGTGCGCGCACACACACAGAGTGCAAATAAGAGAGGAACAAATTATGAAGGCTGTGGTTGTTAGACTATGTATAGCTTCTGTACCTATGTACGTATATGG